GCATATACAGGATGGGCCAAATTGGACACTCTCAAAGAGAAACTTATAACCAATGCCAGTTTCTTTCTTTCAGGTCCAATTTTCATTAAAAAAAGCGGCACATGGATATTTGTTACCGCTTCCGAGTTATAAGGTTATAAGGTTTTTTTTTTTCCATAAAACATTTCCAAAACTTCTTTTTACGACTTTTATGGTTTAAGTTTTTTTTTTGGAATTATTAATTTAATAATTGTCCACAGCATAATAAATTTTTTCTATGGAACAGCCTGAAAGCATCAAAAAGAACTTGCTTTTTGAAAAGCACATTTAATATTTTGCTGGAACCATTGGCGGCGTTTTCTGATACTGTGTGGTTTCTGTTTGTGTATTTTTTTTAAGTTTGTCTAACGAGGCCTCCCAGTTCTGTTGGCGGCTTTAACTTTTGTTTTTACTTTGCAGGATTACTTTACTAAAAACCACTATTTATTAGAACCCCATATCCCTTTCCGATGTATAGTTGTAGGTCGTGCCACAATCTTTCGAAAATGTGTTAAAAGGATGTTTTCTTTCAGGATTTTCAAATTACGTGCTGCATTTGCGTCAATCACGGCTTTTACCACAGAAACCATTACATCCCAGTTATTTTAAAGACTAAACAAAACCTCAAAGTCAACATTACAATATCACAACCTGTACGCCTATGTTTTCTGTGTTATATTATCGACGTCCAATGCCTACTTGTTGAAAGCGGTAAAGACATTGTATTTCAAATAGCACTGGAGCAAAATATAGTGTAGAAAGGTATTTTGAACTTCTTTTCAATGATCCTAAAATATAACGATTTCTTCAAAATGCACATTTTCCAAAAACACGTTGCTTGAGCCCCGAACACTGACATTAATTTTCGTCTTTCTGGTTTAGAAAGCCGGGTTTCCTTGTAAAAGTGTATAATTTGATCAACCCTGTAGAATGATGCTTTTGGTACAGTTTGATGGTTTTAGGCCGTGTTAATAGTTTATATACAGGTTATTTTAGAAATTTTTCATTTTAAAACAGCCTTTGTAGCTCGGTAAACCGGTAAACTTTTAGAAAAGGTTTGGCTAGAGTTTCACATATGATTCAATGGCTCAGTACAAAGAATTAATTATCTGTCAAAATAAACTTGTGTGTGTGTGCAAAATTAAATGCGCATAATACACCCTTTTTATATCCAATTTCGTATATTCTCATATTTTGGGTTAATATGAACCATAAAAGGATCAACAGAAGGCGGATATTAAAATAGTAATTACGAAATGTCATGACTGACACCTAAAGTATATTAGAAAAACCGATAGCTTATTTTCATGGTCTACTCATAAAAAATAGAGTCTTGCATTTGAAATACCATTTAGGTATTATATATTTTTGCAAAGCTCACAAAAAACGTAATAAAATTATTAAAAGACATACAGGGTGTTCTATTAAAAATAACACAAATTTAGTTGTATTTCACAATTTGTGAGTTAATTCACAAAAATACTAGTTCAAAATAAATAAACTCGGACGAAATTCTTTTTGAACCATACAATTTTTGTGTAGCTGTTAAGCGGAAACCCATAGTTTCCTTTGTTCTCCCTGACCTTTTCTGAAGCAAATTTATCAATTCACTACATTGCCACTTTAGGTCATTTTTCCAGTGCATAATGATGCTATTTAAAGGACGTATGCCACCGTAGGGTTTATATATGCGTTTATTTCATATCGATAGTAAAAAAGAAAATTTTTAAAATATTTCTAGAATATTATTCGTGGTTTTCCCAAGTTGTGCCCGTCATATGCTCCTCCAGCGGTTGTCGTCGTCGTCTTTTGCAAATACCTGTTCATGGTCATCATTTTCATATACCCGAGACGTATGTCTCTGTTCTAATAGTCTCGTAAAGTAGTGAGCAGCGTAAGCAACAACATCCGTGGGCTGATCTAATAGGCAACTTATTGTGAACTCCAACATAATATCTTTAAATTCGTCGGAGAGCACAGGGACCGCGGCCATTTCACTTGGCAACTTGTAAAATTTCCAGTTAATAGATTTTTCATTTATTTTGCGAAAACTAGTTTCCCGAGTCGAGATAATCTTACGATAAAATGACGTAAAAAAAATATTATGACGATTTCGTGTCAAAAAAACAAGATAATTGTCTACATGATTTGCGTTTCTCAAGTAACGAGAGGGTTTATTATTGTTGAAACTTATACGGAAAATATTACGCAAGTATATTACGCCTTATAATGCCTTATAAATACTATCATTAAATTTAGATATCGAAAGCTCTATCCAGTTTTTTTATTGTAGCCATATGAGAACGTTAAAATTATATTCATTTGCGTTGCTCGCAGAACAACTGAATTTATAGTCTCCACTCTCAGGTCTATAAAATATGCAGATCAACAATCTGCGCTCCTATTGGAATCGAATGGAATGATGCAATATCAAACAGAGGATTAACAATTTTTTTTTATATATTTCATTAAAATTTAATATTCATAGGTAGCAGTATGTATTTCAAATTACCATATAATTAATTTTAATCATATTAACTTAGACTGATTCGAGTTGTTTTCGTTGTTGTTCATTTAATCAGTAATTATCAGGTGAATGCTGTACTGTGGTATTGATTCCTTAAAAAAGCATTCTAGATTAAATTAGTGTGAAGGAGGACACACTTGAGTTTAGTATTCTGCTTTTACTATTAACTTTTATTTGCATTAAAAATGGTAGCTGTTATTAGAAGTAACACGTGTAGTTCTCGCATTTTCATCATTTTCACCATTTACTCTTTTCTAGTATGAAACAAATTTTACTCACTCAGTTACAGCGTCGTCTGTAGTAACAAGCTCTGACATAAAATTGAGATTATACAAATACTAAACAAATATTTTTGTATTTTCAAATGTGCGTTGGTTAGTAAAAGAATATATAATAAAACTGAGAAACAAGCTTCAACCATTTACACAAATACGCGTAAAAGTGTTACTGTGATAATTTAATATTGAAAACGGAATAGAAGATTGACATATTTAACGTTAATGATAAGTTATATACTGGATGACACTCTATATCTTTTAAACGGCTTCAGATAGCGATTTGAAATTTGGAAGGGTTAATATAGCCCGAATGTCCATTTTTTTGACAGTAGTCAATGGTTTCACTTCCGGTTTGGGTGGAAACGACAGTGACTTTCGAATTTTAAATCGCAAAACCTATATTTTTTTGTATTTTTGAATTCGGAAGATTATTCTGCATAGGATAGGACGATTTGTCTCTCTCTTTTTTTTTTAATTTTTATTTTTTTTTTAAATTTGGTCTAGGACGCCGTGACAATCCTAAATACTATTTACCGGGTCACCTGATAGGTAAAATTGTAAATGAAACTTTTCTTTACTTATCTAATGGCAAATAGCATTTAACGTAATGAACTATTAATTTTTTAGTATAACCTAGTCTTTTCAAGTAGCACTCTAGTGGGAACAAAAACTTTTTAAAACAGTTACTTTTTTTCCAACATTTTGACACCAAAATTTTCAAAATTCGTTAAAAAATAATCTCACAGGAAGGAAAAAAGCAGATAAGTAAATACATTTTTATAAAAACAAAATATTAATTACGTGGCTTTGCTTCTAATCATCAAGTCGGCATGATTGAAAATTCTGACAGTTTGTACATTTTTATCTAATTATCGATTTCATCTTGTTCATTTTTGTATCGATTACAAATGAAGAAAAAGTTGATATGTTTCTAATATACGGGGAATGCAGAAAAGCCTCTCGACAGGCCCTGTGCATTGTATACAGCTATCCGGAACGTCGCCTTCCTGCACATTCTTTCTTTGGAAAGCTCGAATTACAAATGAGAAATCCACAAAACAATCGAATGATGTCATGTTTTGTGTCAATGTAAAACTTGTTTTACAGTAACACACCTTGACGTACCACTTTCAAATCCGTCCTACCGACATTGTAGAGGTTTTATTTTCTAACAGATTTTCAAAAAATTGTGTTCAATTATCCCAAAAAGTGACAGATTCGAAAAGAAAAAAAAAACATTTCTATTATCTTGTATTCTGGGTTTCCGGTAAAAAGTGCTTGTAGCTTATGACGTACGTTTGCATATCATACTTACGATAATTTTTGACTGTTTCCCCGTATTCCAAAAGCATATAAATTTTTTGCCACAATAAAACACTTAAAAAAAAATCTAATCGTTGAATCTCAGAAGAAACTCTCCCTTGAATTTTATTTTTTTTAAATACTAATCCCTTTTGTTGTTTCCACTGCATGAGCTTGTCGAGAGTTTCTTCTGCATTTTTAATCTCACCGACTTGACAATTAATAATGGATAGCATGCAAAGCCACCTAAGTAATATTTATTTTTTATAAAAATGTATTTACTTATCTGATTTTTTCCTTCCTCCGAGCTTATTTTTTACCGGATTTTGAAAATTTTGGTGTCAAAATGTTGCAAAAATAGTACCAGTTTTAAAAACTTTTTCTTCCCTCTAGGGTGCTATTTAAAAAAAAATTAATAGTTCATTACATTAAATGCTATTTGCCATTAGAAAAGTTTCATTTACAATTTTTCCCATGATCAGGTGACCCGGTAAATAGTATTTATGATGGTCACAGCCTCCTAGACACAATTTTCAAAAATTAAATAAAAATTTTGGAAAAACAAAAAATGAGAAAAAATATAGGTTTGTGCCATTTGAAATTCGAAAGTTACTATTGATTACATATCGTCAACAAATTCGACATTCAGCCAAATTTCAAATCGCTATCTCAAGCGGTTTAAAAGTTATAGTGTTCCCACTTGTGTCATCCGGTATAAGTGTTACATTATATTGTAAATACATATAATTTTAAACGCTCGAACGCTCTTATTAATTTGGGTAAACAAGTCTCAAGGAACAAATCCATAAATATTCTTTGTTCCACGACGAAACCCTTAACAAAGCCTTTCCTAATTCCAGAGAAGCCAGACTTACCGGTATGTTTCTCTGCCGACTTGAGGGTAAACGCAGCCAGATGCGTGACTCCGCTTCGGCCTTTCTTATTAGCCGCGTAAAGTCCGATGTCGAAACCGACGCCCGATTCCAGGCCGGTAACGGTAAAAATGGGACTTCGTGACGTCACGTTGCTCACTAGTTTGCGCCATTGAGTGTCGTAAACTTCCATTATGAATTCTTGCTGCAGACCTCCGTCGAAACCCTCCAAACATTCGACGTAAAGCGACTCCACCGTTTGGTTCAGTATGGTGCAATTGGAAAGTGGATCTGGGTTATCTAAGAAAATAAACAACTACTAACGAAGTCGTCAATGTTTGGTGCTAAAGGTTTTTTTTTTAACTAAACGTAAGCCGTAATAACTAAGTAAGCAAGACCTTTAACAACTATCAGAGATGGAGCAAATAGGTATATGTAATAAATCTAAGCTACCTAGAACACCATATTCAAGTTTTCAAAAACGGCTATAAATATCCCCCCGAAAATGAAATAAAATAGTGAATGTTTGATAAAATAAAAAGTAACATCTTCAAAAAAGTATCTATCGAAGTAGGCATAGTCATAGACTACTTGGAAGATTTTCTGTAGCTCAAAAACTTTAGTATGCAACAAAATGAGATTTTCAGTCTAGTCGTTTTTGCCTATCTCTGGTAGAAATACTGAAAGCCTGCAAAAAATACCTAATTTGTGTTCTTATAGGAAACTCCGTTAATATTTAACATAAATAGATGTCGTTATTATGGTATATTTGTATCTTCAATGTGAGATTCGATTAGGACACATTGAAAATGGGACACCCTGTACATCGTCTCCAGAATAAAGTCCGTAACATTATCACCCGGCTTGAAAATGTTATTTTCTTCCCCATATCCTAAAGCAGATTAGTTCTAGCGCATTCGCGCACACAAACTGAACTCGTTTATGGCTCTCATAATAATTCACCAATTTTCTAAATGAATTTAAAATTGCTGCCGCAAGCGATTTTTATTGCGTCTTCCCCTAAAAAAACACGCTTTTAATATGATACATGACGATTTTTTAACAGGTCGGAAATTTTTGATGCGGATAAGGCAATTGGAAGTAAGCCGTTTCAATGAATTATGAGACAGCTCGAAATTTATACTTTCCCAGTGCAATGTGGCGGCCGGATGAAATTATTTAAAAATTATATGTAGCCAATTTAATTCTATTTTACGCGCTGTTCAGTCTGATGGAAAAATAATTTTTGATTTCAATTTGATGCTTGCATGTCATATTTTAGAGACATTGCGATTTGCAAATTACGAGCCTGTTAGTTTTGGTCTCTGAACTCCATCTATCGAACTGAAATGGTGCCTGTAATGCAGTCAATATGGACTTTCTGAAGCAATTTTTATTTGTCGTACGTAATTTTTCTACTTGTTTGGGTTGTTTTAAGGGTACTAGGCTGCTAGAAGCTACGTTGTGAAATCACTTCAATCGTTGATCCTTCTTTGAACTAAGTGGTTATGATATATTTGACTATTTTTGATGGGGACAGTTTTGTGTGTGCTTATGCTGGTTAATTAATAAAGATTTTATAAAATGGCAAATTCTTGGTAAATTATTTAGACTTACTGAATGTTACGTGTTCTGATTTTGTTTTAATAAATAACTGATATCTTATTATTATATAAATATGATTTTATTGAGCGGTGGGAACACAACACATTTTGGTGTGCCTACGACGCAGGGTAATTGCAAGATATTGCGTATCATTGTGGGAAATTCGCATTGAAGGTATTGTGGCATTATCTGGGCGTTGTGGGAATAGTGTGGGTATTGTCAAGCATTTTATCGACATGTACATGCGCATCTGTGCGCCGTTCCTGCGTTTTCCTTAACCAGCTTAAGAACTTGTTCTAGAGCAATTTAAGAACAAAAATTACGAATGGACCATTTCTAAATTAAAAATTACAAATTTGGAGCCTTTATTACGAAACTAAACAATCGCCATTATACAGTGTTGCCAAACAAAATGAAATGTTTGTCCTTTTCCAAAGATATACTTTGAATTAGGCGTTTCGCAGGTAGATTTTTTTTGAGAGGCATCTAATCTTACGGTATGTTCCAAATTAGTTAGTTAAATGGGGTAATTTTAGAAAATATAATTGATAATTAAGTTGTGCTTACCGAGAGCTCTAGAGACTTTGGTGAAGTTTTGGTTTTTGATATATTAAAAAAATTGAAAACAGGCATCTTTTTTATTTAAAAATTGAAAACAAGCATCTTTTTATTTATAGTTTTTTTTAGTTTTAAAATAACTTTATTTCCCCATGATGATGTTCCCCTAATGTCCGAAAACTAATGATGTATCATACTTATTCTATTTTTTCCAAACAAGGTCATATCAAAAATCTTATTTTGGGACATTAACACAGGTTTGAAAAAATCAAAAAGCTAAAATGAAGATCAAAATTTTTCCTACCCACTGAGGAATAATTTCTCTTAATCATCCGACAATAAAAAGAAATTTAATTATACCTGTGTACCTTAAGACGGACATACCGGAATTCTTCGAAAACCTTTTTTTTGTATATAAATGGAAAAGTTTGCAGGAAAAAAATTAAATAATTATTTAATAAGTTAAATTAATGCTTTGAGTGCGTCATTTTAAAACTTCGTGGGGATTTTATCATTTGTATGACCTATTGATGTAGTTATCACAAAAATTTTAAAATATTCTCTTTTTCAAAAAAATTAAAAATATTGGTTACATATTGGTACATATAATATTTAGATAAATACGTATCTGTTTTAAATCCTTTTGTTAGAAGAAATAGTACAAGTTGCGTTATAACGGCTAGCCAGGAAATCGAAATTGAATATTGTGTCTTAATACATATTGTTATTTTCTGGGCAATAAAGTTTCCTATATATTTTTTTTAAATGTTCAAATAACTTAATTTTTTTGACTTTTTTGATATGTCATTTTGTTTGCGCTTTTTTCGAAGATCTTTTTAAGAAGTTTAGAAGATTATTATAAATATTATTTTACAGAAATATTGAAAGAAAATAATGTGTACCGCCCAGTTCATTAAAAACCCGTAGATCTAATTTTATATGGTTTAAGTAGTCCTTTTTTGGTTTTGGCGTTTCATTTTAAAAGTGCACGGTGTCAATTTTTGATAAACGCCTAAAAGTTAAATATTTCCAAATTGCCAGAGAAATAATCACAAAAGCCTGTTTCAAACTACATAAATAAAACAAAAACTAATAATAAGATTTCTAAGGTTTTTTTTTATGAACAGAACTGTATATAGTTTTGGAAATATATCGGTAAATAAAGTAATCAAACAATGAGATCGCGCCCCATTCTCCCAAGAGAAAAACAATCACAATTATCTGTTTTTTTCTATTGTAAAAAAGCCGTTTCAATTCAGTTTAGATTGAGTTCACTCGTTTTGGTATAAATCACTCGAAGGCTTTTTCCAGCGATAGGCAACGAGTTGGCATCGATCACCAGCGGCCACTATTATTGCTTTGTAGCAGCATAAATCATAATAATTTGGAAAATATCAACTAAACCTCAGAATATAAAATATTACAATGCTAAAAATATTCACATATTTGTAGGTTTTTTGGAGAAGTGATACTTCACCTACTTCATCAGAAAGTCGGTTACTGCATTGTACAGATGGTGAGTTTTTGGTAAAATTACATACCTGCCGGAGTAATGTAATAAACACAAGCCTCTTTCTGCATTCCGATTTCATTTTTCGCCCAACATAAAATTGTACCATAGTCCGATTCCGTTATAGGCTTGTAGTTGACGATACTGCGTCCATTTTCGCTATGAATCTGTAAGAAATTCGAGTTCTGTTTCATGTTGGCAAAACGATAAGCATTATATTGCTCCGATATGTAGGATTAAAATTGTTCTCTGTTTTCTATAACCATTACTTTGTTTACCTGTGTGGTCGGAATGTCGAAAGTATCACCGGAATTATTAAACTTCCAAGTAAACTCGGTGTCCGTTGGGTTGGCTTCCACTTCGCATGCGATTTTCACTGTTTCATGGCGCGCTACTCCGTAAACTTTCATTTGCCCAGGACGGCATGTAGGAATAACTGCGAAAAAAATGATACTATTAGGAGACATAGAACAAAATTATATTATATAATAGTTAGTATGGAAATTTAAATTTAATATTTGGTGTTAATTGAAAAAATAACATTATAAAAAAATATAGGATTTCAATGGATTTATTAAATATAAAATATATTAATATTTATAGTCTGGACCATCAGGACCGACGACGCTTGTTATTTTCTAGTCATTTTCTTTCTGCGGAGGTTATGTTTGTCAAGGGGCGATCCTCAAAACTTTCATTACCTAATTCTTATGGCAACAACACACATTTAATAAAACAGTTCAAAAAAGTACAGTCAAAAAAGAATATGGCATAATACAAATTTGTGTTTGATGTGGAAAATATATTTCTGCTCATAATTAGATGCAAAATTTAACACAAGTTGGTACAAATTATATCAAATATTTACTGTACCTAAGTCCTTCCAATAAGCAAATGTTAACTTTGCTTTTATTTTCATTTAACGAGGAAACAAATAGCTACCAACTAAAGTATCTATAGGATGATTAATCAGTTAATATCTAATAAAAATAACATTAAAAGGTCAAATTGTTTTTATATGAAATTGAATCCTCGTCTATATAAAATCCGATATAAAAACTATGGCATTGAAGAAATTTTTAATCACAATGTTAATAAATTGCTCTTCAAACGCAACAAACAAATGTTGAACTCTATACATACAATATTTATTACCATTTCAATAGTATATTATGCAAGGAGTCTGATTGACCATTTGGCTGAAGAATGTCGTTACGAAGTGAACTTTGAAGTGTTTATTGTAAACCAATTAAATAACCATTTTATTTTTTCACTTTTATTATTATGGTTATGTCATTAATTAATATTTCTTGATAAATAAAGTTAGGTAAATAAGTAATATCTGCTTCAGACGCAGCCAAACTTTCCAGTCCAAATTCGCAAATTTGTTGATACCAAAAGGATGCTTAGTGTATGGCTTTAGGAGAAAACTGTATCTCATGTGTTATCAAAAATTCCCTGCCAATAGATATTATTTTTTGTATTGAAATTCTCATTTATTACCTGTAATTGTAAACTGCTGTTCGGTATTTGTTATCGTATATGGAATTTTAATTAACAAGGTAGTTTGGAGGAGGGTATTTGTGCGCAGTTAGTTAGTGTTAATTCGGACGGAACAATTTTTTAGTTTTAAAAATGCAGCAATTGGTGTCAGATGTGGGCTCGCTTGTAGAATAGATAGACTATGAATGAAGTTATGTATTATGAATATCATAACATATACATATAACTTCGTAAGAAACATACTAGATTCTACTAACGGTTTTGGCGGGTAAACTAAACAATTCAACCAAATATTCAGACAAAATAATTAAAATTTTTCTCCTTCGCGTTCCAAATTAAATTGCCTTCCGTGAATTAAAAACCGAAATAAATTAGGGCGCTGAAACGGCCTGAATAATAATTGTCGATATCATTAAAATTAAAAAAAGTTCGGATTGCGGACGACACGAAGTTGTGTTGGTATTCTCATGGCACCGAAAACGCCTTGTCTGAAATCGGAAAATGTTTGACGGCAAGAAATCCGACAGGAAAAAGGGCGAGAATAATACGATAACACTCTTTTACCCTTTCTTTTTTCTCTAAATTTCGTGATCCAAGAAAATTATTGAAAGATGTAGCAATGAGTATAAGTGTTCTAACAATGTCTTATTCCAGCATTAATCTAAGAGCTTTTATTGTAAAAATTCTATGAAGATCTTAATAAATATTATTTTTTTAACCATTCTCAAACAAGAGTGTTATTAAAATATGCTGATTATTATGTATTTTTGGTGCAGAGTCGGGTGTAGTGTAGACAAAGAATTAGAGAATACTAAATATTAATAAAAATACACTATACTATAATGCATAAGCTTTACTCCTGGCCTTAATATCAATTGTTTGGATCTATTGCTGTTCTTCTCCGCAAGTCCTATTTTGTTAAGGGGTGAGACTGATCTCGAACCGCGTTCCAATATCCCGAAGCGAGTCAATATTTATACTGAAGGCTTATTTCGGATACCTGACGATTTATAACTTAATTTCTGGAAATCTACGTGGGGTGGGTCTCTGCCAATATATCGATTTCAAAGTTTGCCATATTTATATGATTGATGGTTAAAAAGGGTTAAAGGTGTCCTAAACATTAACGAACCTGTACCGCAAGTGAGTAAAATTTTTAAAAATTGTGTTTTGTCGATTAAGTTAGCACAAAAGCACAAGCTAAACATTTCTATCTACTTTACGGATATTTTATACACGTTTTCAAAAATTTTAGTGCGTTTTCCTAAAAAATATGATTGAATAATGTAAGTAATTCGTTAAAAAATTTTCTACTCCCTTCTGTAAAATAGCAAATTATACACGGATCTAGAATGCGGTAAAAAAATTGTATGAAACACGTTAATAAACTTCTCCAGTCGCTCGTTTATTAAATACTCACTCCGCTGGGCTGTGGTTGTTAAAAAAGACGGTTAATTTTGTAAAATATAAAATAATGGGTTAATTGACAAACGTTTTTATTATTTTTATTTTCATATTTAATGTTTTTTTTTATTGCAAAACACTCTTTTCGGTTCATACTAGCCAGTAGCATTTTTTTCTAGATGTTCTTGTAAATCATAAACATAAAAGTTTGAACTAACATTACAGAATACTGTATGTATGTTGTCGACTATATATCAACTGCAAGGTTTTGTCAAGTGTCAAAAATTTACAACGTAAAATAATTTAAATCTATATCGCATATGACATTTCCAGATCTCTTTCTCGCCCCCACTCCTATGATATATTGGTGGTTCTGCCAATGATTAAGTACAATTTTTGAATAAAATATGTGAGCAATCAAAACCGAGAGCGACATTAAAATTTCGTAACGAATTAGAATATATTTCCGTTCGGAACTTCCATAATTCAAAAAGATAACAAGCTCACAACAAAAAAATAAAGACAATCATCTAGAAGCAGCGGACAAATCCATCAAATCTGAAGTGCGGAAGTTGACAAACACTTAGAGTTTGCGAAACCCTCGTTCAAAAAGTTGTCATAAATACAAACTTTTCGCCGAGGGAGAATTTAATAGACGTAGTCACTTTCGTATAAGTGAAAATGTCAAAACGTAAACTGAAAGGTCATTCGATTAGAGTATTCAGCTCGGTATCGAAAAAATATATCCCCAAACGGGCTGTTGAGTATTTGTGTCCGAAAATATCAAAAACTTGTAACCAAAGGTTTTTTCAGGTGGTTAATTGTTTCCTTGGATGTTTAGTAAAATTAAAGATACATCGTAGATTAGTAATATTATTAGATATTTGTTAACTACATTCGAAGTAATATCTACTATATACAAATATATTTATTAAGATGGGTGCTTAGCCATGAGGTCCGGTATTAGGGACACAGACCGTCCTAGATATAAAAAAAGTTAAGTAAATGGCCAAGAGAAACTGCTGGAAATTATTTTCGAGTTTCTGAAATGTCGATTTCTACAAAAAATTTCTCATATTTAACCATTCAAATTCAAATCTATGATGGGGGCGTGGAAATAAATATCCATAACGCCAAAAAGATCTAACGCATTTCAACAAACTTGCTGTGAATGACGCGATTGCGAGTGCTTAATTTGCCACTAGGTCTCGTTCTTTGATATACGATATTAACTAATAACGCAGTGTAAACGTCATCTTAACATCATTATTTAAATAATAGTATATTATGCAACAAGTGCGGTAAACGGCACTTGATTCCCTGATAGGACTGTCAGAATTGACAAACGTCAAAATTCAAGGCGCGGGAAATATCTCCGAAAACATCCGATAGTTTCCAAACCCATGCGGTAAAATCCCGGAAATGCGCGAAGTGGCTCGGATCCGTGGGAAACGAAACTGACGTAGTAAAGTGACGCTTCACGCAGGCTAGATTGGTGTGTAAGTAGGTATTTTACAGACAGGAGTAGAAAAAAGAACCTAATTCAAAATTTGAAATTTTGGAAACACTTCTACGTTACGTGTTATTAATATCTAATTAACCAGAACTTAATAAGCAAAAAAAAAATTATTTGGGATGGCAAATTATATTTTTTAAGGTCAAAATAAAATACTATTTATATGTATTATTTTTCGAAGGGCACCAAATTTCATTAAAAATTAGGGTTAATTACTAAAACGGTCATCAATCAATTAATTGTTGGAGAATAAGTATTTTTATTTTACTATTGACTCGTTTAAGTGAAAACGTGGAAAAACCATTTAAAAAATCAGCAAAACATATCCTGTGACAGTAATAATTCATTTTTAATTATCAAGATTGCCATGGAAACAAATTTTGCATTCATATGAGAATTTTTCATATCGTTATTTAATACTTCTTAAAGTCTCTTGATTGCCTTAACGAGGTATTTAAACAGGAGTTCATCATACTGCAGCGCCTACTGATATTCAATACACAGTATATAAACATATTATTTGAATACACATTTTACTACTCAAGTAATTCAATATTAAATAAAAAAGTCTAATTCTGAATGAAAAAATAAGTGATATCAATATGTAGTAATATCAGCTACGCTTCGAAGTATTATAAAACAGATAATTAACATAAATAAGAAAATTTTATTTTAAATATTATTTTGCACCCTAATTAAATTAATGATTACCCGTAATGTGGAAATGCTTCACAATTTTTTTCAAGTTTTAAGTTATTTTGTTTATATTTTAGGTTAGAATAAAGATATTGAGATGCGCTTTAGGCCGTTAGTTGACTATCTGTTGATCTAAAAATATCATCAGCTTTTACTTTTTTGCGATTTTATCAAAAAAAGCGCCGCCTGGCAATGTAATGAATCGTAATTCAATCGCGACTCCAAGTTTATTAAAACGCGTTATGGCTTTTTGGAGCTATTTCAGAAAAGACCCGCTACCACTTTCATTGCATAGATAGAACAAACGGCATTCAACA